GTCTCTTTTGTTTCTTTCTTCATAGATACACAGTTCATTTTTACTTATACATTTATTACAGGTGGTATTTCTAATATCTTTTAAGCAAAATAGTTTTTGTTTTCTGTATCTGGGGTGAAGTCAATAGAAATAAGACAAATTTATCTAATATATTTGTCCAATTTCTATTGACTCCACCCCATCTATCACATGTAGTAATAGGTAGAAGTTTTCTTTTTAAAGCATTGTTTTTCGAGCTATTTTTTTTCTTCTATCAAAATCATAAGTACAATTATCTTCACATTTTTTTTGTTAACAAGTTGAACAAGGTTTTTGTTCATTACATTTTCTCTTTGATATGAAACAAGGAAGACAGGTATTGTTTGTTCTTTTCACAATCTCTTCTGATTTTGATTTTACTTCTAATAATACAATTAAGTGTTCATTCTTAATACTTGATAATGTATGTTTCTAAATAATACTAGCAATTGATAATAATTCCTTGCCACCTAGAGTAAATTCTTCATCTAGAAACAAGTATTGCAATATTTTTAAAAACAAAAAAAAACACAAAAACGAACTGTGTTATCTATTTTGGTTGGGTTTTTTACAATAGATTCATGATATTCAAACCTAGGTATAATAAGCAGAGAATCATTGTCTAAAGTGTTTAACTTATTAATTACAGTGTTTAATTTATTAGTCACATTAACAGACACAGCATTCTTAAGTTTCTTCTTAATTTTGTTTATGTCAAATTTTTTTTTTGTTAAATCATCATTAATGTCAAACATATAAACTAATATTTTGATAGTTTTATCAAGAGATAGTAAAATGCACAGGCTTTTAAATCAAAAACTAGTCACTTTTTATAAAAGTTCTTAACCTACACATTGACACATCCAAACTCATAATTAAAACTTTACAACTTACTATACTAGAGCACAATGGTTACTGCGTTATCTAATAAACTATTACTTGATTGGGTCAATAGAGTTAGAGATTAAAATATAGCTAGCATTGTACTGAGATTAGAAAATATGAGCTAATGCTTGTATCAGATCCTGCTAACCAGTAATCAAAAAAACAACAACTATATTGTTTATTATACTTAATTAAGCTAAAATTAACTTACTATAAGAGTACTTGAACTTAAAACTTTATATTAACCTCTGACTCAGGTATATAGAGATAAACTCAATTTAGTATAATCTTCTGAGCAATAATGATACCATTCCTGCCTAGTTTAGATATATCAAACTGCTTTTGAGGATCAATGCATACCAAAGTGATGATTTATTGCTGCTAGGATTAGCCTTATAATAAAAGTTTAAGTACAAGTATTAATTATCAATGCCTTGACTAAGATCTTGGCATTTAGCCACAGACTCTTATGCAAATTACTATATTAGGTTTAAGCTAGATAACTGTTGTTTACCTTTTTGATTCATAAGTTACTATACCCTAATGGTAAGTGTCTACCATAGGTATATTACTAGTGGCTAAAGAGGTTTAACTTTAAGGTGTTTAAAACCAAAAAGCTGCTTTTTATATTATGTATACCAACAAGACTATACTAAAATCACAACATATTAATAACTCTGTAGTTTATTATATTAAACTGCTAAAGGTTATCTAACTAATCAGTGATCCTGGGTTAGATAGTGGTGGTAATACAATGCCTATACTTTTTAGAGTAGGTTATTGATAATGACTATAAAACTTTAAACTAGAGTTATTTAAGTACAATATTGTTTTTTTTGCTTTTAATCAATTTAAATAAAAAGCTTTGACTAATATAACCAATAATAATACCTGCTTATACCCCATGGATGTCATCCTGATTACAGTACCTCAACTCCATATATACATTGCCCCAATACTTGTACTTGCAGATGTCATTACCCTAACAGTTATCTTATTTGCACTGATTGTTGTAACAACAATTCTAGTAATAATCAACAAACTAGTTTAGAAGTTATAATAGCTGCTAATCATGACCAAATGGTTATTATCCTTGTCTGGCTTTTGGGAGCTATCACAATAAGTAAGTAGTTTTAATACACTCATCATTTGGGTTTGGGTCAACTTCTTGTAGATATTAAATTCCAATCACTGAATCCTGAAATACCAAAATCCTGGAAGTAATCTTGAAAAATAAAATCTTAAAGCTCATAATCCAGAAAGATTATGATCCTGAAAAATCACAATCCTGCTTGCTATGGCTAACGCCTCCACACCACTCCTGTTACCTAATGCTAATACTAACCCTAACCCTAACCCTAACTCTACAAATCTTAGATTTAATTTTATTCTTAATCTTAGTCTAACCCTAACCCTCGAAAAGTCATAATCCTGGAAGGTAACTGTAATCTTTCAAGGCTATAAACTTCAGAGATTATGACCTTTAGAATTATGACCTTTCAGAATTTGATTTTCCAGGATTGTGAATTTTTCACGATTATAATAGTACACTAACTTTAATTCTAGCCTGACCTAATAATATTGACCTAAATTACTTTGTCCTAAAATGAGCTTCGGTGAAATGAGTGTCGGTGAAATGAACTTGTTGGTAAGTAATGTCAGTGAAATGTGGTGCCTACAAAGTGATTGTCGGTAAAATAATACGGATCCAAGCTGGTAACATCCCCTAACTGTAATTTGCAATTTGATTGGCTATCTATATACTGCGGCATAAAAAAATTTGGGGTTTTGCAATTTTTTTTTTTTTTTTTAAATTTCTTTGCTACTATTGTAGCTAGAGGCGCAGGTGGCGCTCCTTTTATTAGAAATCTGTAAGTTTACATATTTTGGTTACTAC